AATCAATCAATCAATTGAATCAATCAGTTAAATCAAATATAAAAAGTCTTTTTCTGACGAAAGTTGAAACTAAAGCAATTCTTGTAGAATTTTTACCTAACATTGATGTTCATGTCCACTGACGTCATCTCGCTGTTTCGGACGTCCTTTTTGACGACTTTTGATCTTGAAGTTGTCATGGAGACAAAGTCATCGATCTTCTGGATTTCTCTTGATTGTATCTTGTGTAGTTTTTTCATTGCTTTGTTCTCCTCGCTGGAGGAATTTATGAAATACAATTTTATATCCGCTATAACCTCATATATATAATTGCTATTTTTTAATTGCAAGTTTTCAAGTCGGTACCTTAAGACCTCTGTGGTTCTTCGTAGACTTTGTGCCTGTGTCGTCAGGTCTTTGATCTTTTTGTCTCCTCGAATGAGTATTTCTTGTACTACTCGTTTCATYTCTCGATTAACGTAGTTTCTTTTCGGGTCTCCTTTAGTTGCGAGTATTGTAAGTGGTTTACGTGGAGGAAGGGCCGCCAAAACCACTAAGATGAAAGATTTTGACGGATTACTTGAAGTTGAATGCTTTTTCTTTGTTTAATTTTTTAAAATTATTGACGATATGTTTGTCGAAATTTTTGATTCCATCCCATTTCTGCTGCACCTTTGGCTGTTTCGCGTTTTGGTTAGTTGTACATCTTTAAATTCATTTTTTTTTCTCAGCCCAAATATATCGTTAAAACATATGTCATTTTCCTTTTTTGTCACTTTAGTTTTCACTTGATTTCCCTCTAGTTTATGCGAGTGTTTTATGCTACATTTCTTGACATATTCTTATCTTTTCTCTAGATTCCTTATCTATTTATCATACATATTTAGTGTATGTTATACATGTGGTCGGTATAGCTCTCTCATCYTTCATTCTAATAATATTTTTCAATAAATCCATTAAAACTTACCCTTTTTTAAAGGTTTACTTTGAGATTTTTTATGATAAGTCGACGCCTCGGACTCCGAGTAATCCACTGAGAGCTGTTCATCTGTTAAAAAGAGAACAAAGCTTTATAATCWCAAAAAATAATAACTTGTTTGCCGATTACATTGGAAACTTTCTTGCGGGTATAATGAGTAATTTCCATTGCACAATATATTGCATGCCTCCTACTGTATATTCAATATTAATGCCGTATCCAGTGCTATGGTTCTAATTGAAATTTGACGGTTCAAATTCAATATTGTTATCGTTCTGATATTGGGCAAGCACGATGAAAATTACGTGTTTTTAAAATACCTTGAATTTAATAAGAAATAATAATTGTTGTTACAGCGTGWTGAGTTCAAAGACAGCAAGGGTTGTGAGTCGATCAATGCCAAAGGTTTTTGATTATTAAAATAATTCTTCATCCGTCAAAAATAAAACAAAACAAAACAAAGCAAAAACATAATAATTCAAGCATTAAACTGGTCAATTTATAAACAATTGCGTTGAATTTGTATTAAACCCAGCTTAGAGATTTCAAAAAGTCGAATTCAGATAACGTTTTACAGTAATGTCACTTGTAAACTTAGTTCTCAATAACAATTCTCTAAACATTTCGACAGCTTTCGATGTTTAAAAAATAGCACAAAACCGGAACGTCTTTGTACTTCAAACTCGGACTCTCTTACCTCCAAAAACGGAATGTTTTTCCAAGAGAAAAAGATTTTAATTTAGGAATTCGCTGTCAGRCTGTTGGTAGTTTTACATCGTAAAATGCAAATTCTTCTGTATASYAGTGTTAATGACTTTRGTCGGAACTGCGCTTGATTCGACGAAGTCTTTCTCATTCGTTCATATGTCCATCTTAATTGTAATTTCATATTCAAACATCTAACATTTCCYCTTAAGTCAAAACTGATCAAAACTCAAAATGTTGATGCAGTCAAAGAAACCTTAAATGATTTCAAGTGACCACAAATTTAATGTGTTAAACCTCTAGAGGACTTTCGGAAGTAAAGAAATAATTCGAACAATAGCAATGTCAGAGTTTATATTTCAAACTGTCAGATTGACGTCTTTTTGTAGATTCAMTTTGTCACTTTATTAGAAAATAATAAAATATCCACGAAACTCAGTATGTCACTGTTTCGACGCGAGTTTGGTTTATAGTCAACTCTCGCTATWACGGACACCCTCGGGACCGTAATTTAGTGTCCGCAGTAGCGAGAGTCCGTAGTAACGAGAGTTACTTTCAGTCATTTCTATGTAATTTTCGCCGGGGATTCAATATTTTACTGTCCGCAATGTCGAGGTGTCCGTTGTAGCGGGGTGTCCGTAAGGCGAGAGTTGACTGTGATCGTGTACGGGGAGTCGACAGAAAATAAGATGTCTTCTTGAACAGAAAAAGTTAGTGCGAAAAGTGGACGTTACTGTCGAACGGAAAAGCAAAGTGTTTTTAGTGTTAGGCTGTGCAAATCCCGTTTAGTGCTAATCCAAAGTTAACTCCTTAGACCAAGGATTATTGCTAATTGAGCTTTAAACAACACGGCCGAAGCCTATACAACGCTATTTTATATTACCATAATTCGAGTGACTGTCTGTTGATGGTGAATACTTCGTTGATCGTCTCGAGTGTCTGTCGTAGCTGTGCAGAGAAACCTCTGAACCTGAAAACAGAAATCCAGAACCGTTTGGAGAAAATATATGTGCTGGGTAAATCTGTATTTGTTTTTCTGGACTTACTTTTACAATCAAACTTGCTATTCTAGCTTTTCAAGTTTTGTAATCTCTTTTTACTTTAAATTTTAGTTTGACACTGCACTCTATCTCTTTAGGACCTAGTCAAACATCGATCTTTTATCCATTCWAATTTAATTACTGGCGTTTAGCTCGTCTCATTCTCTGAATTCATAGTAATTGTTTGATTTTGTTCGATTAGGCGACATCAACTTCTTATGAACGAAATGTAAGCAATTTGATTAGACACGGCAAAAGGTCGACTTCTGAACTGGAGCTCAATAAAGTTCTCTTGTTCCAATTACAACTGCAACATCTACGATTAGATGCTTATGGACAAGCCTTACMTTCGTATCTGGACAAGCGCTCTTCCTCTGAGTTTGGTTCTATTTTGCTTTCTTCTCTGTTCTCATTTTCTGCATCGCTATTCTTTTTGGACTTAGGGTCACATTGCTTGTTATCTTTGTTGTCTTCATATGCCATACCATCATCATTCTCACCGATATCGTTAGTCAGTTGGTTGCCCTGCGAATCTTCATCCTTGCCTTGAGGATCTTCATTTATGATGCTGTCATCATTTCCACCATTGCTGCCTGTCTTTTGACCGGTCTYTAAATCGTCTGTATTGCTCCTTTGCAAGGTGTCATCATTTTCAGCGTTATCATTTTGAACATGAAAACTTGTCTTGTCATTGCGTATCAAATCGTTTTCTTTCCCTTCATTATCATCATCACCATCATCATCATTATCTTGGTCATTTCCGCCTTTCAAAGAGTTGTCTATTATCTGAGGAGACTGATCATTTTGTTCACGGACAGCTTCGGTTTCTTTCAAAATATCTTGGTTGTTAGCGTCTTCGGTTCCATCTGAACTCTCTTCCTTTTCTTTGTCAACTGCTTCACTTTGTGTTTCGTTCGATCTATCTCCATTGTCGTTTTTAGTTGCATCTTCAAGTRAACGAGGTGTTTCTTCTTCATTCTCTGAAATGGTAGCAAACAAAGAGAAAWATTWGCTTCTTTCAGTAGGAATATAATAGGAAAAAAGGCAMWATGTCGCGCCCCACATTTGAATCTAACACTCCTYTGAAACATTGTAGACAACTTACCGTGRAYTTCCTCAGTTTTTTCCACATCTTCTTCTTTGAGATGTTCTGAGTGTGACGTCATAGCACTCTGCACTGCACAGTCCCTCTCGTCCTCAAAATCATCTGTGTATCCAGCATCGTTTTCTTCTCTTTCTTTGCTGTTGATTGACAGCTTGGAGCCACGCCTACTTGTCGCGGTGTCTTTTTTYGTTTCATCTGAAAAATATAGTTATTTGAATARTACGGAGGCTGTGATTGGATGTTATGCTATCTATGTATTATTTGGTTYGAAATAGTACGAACGCTTTGATTGGTTGACTATGTCTTTTTCATGAGTTGCCTTCCCTTATAACCTTCAGAATATCTGCGCTCTGATTGACTGACAACTTGTGTATAACTGACATAGAATGAACAATGTGATTGGCTAATATAAGCAATGTTCAACGCAGTGATCAAACTTGGATAGTATGATCACTACGATTAGCTAATCATGAGATGTTTACTATTTGGAAACAGAGGAATTGTATCTCGCAGTTGTCTATCTAGTACCTGTTAGTCCACATGCTTAAAAAGATCACCTGATGTCTAATCAAGAAGCTTCACTTTGTGTATATCACAATTATTCAAGTTTATTTAGCTTCCATTATATTYGATTCTGAATTCTTTTATTCCTGTGATATCACAGTAGTTTTATTATCATGCCTATTGAGTTTTACTTACGAAAGGCAAAAGATTTAAATTAAAATAATAAAACAATAAAGATTAAATATTAAAAGGTTGTGTAATTGTAGAATCTTTTTTGTACAAATGTTTAGCATTTTTAGATGAGGTTCGGTTATTTACCATATAWWATTCTTTAGTCGCGCTAWTTTTTAKTATTATTATTATTTTTTGGTACGGCTCAGTAGTGGAAAAAGTTTAAACTTTTTGAAGAAAAGTTAAAATTTAAGTAGCGGTTTGTCGCCTAGCAACGATAGTGTCCGGATCACATSAAGAATGCTTAAGCGTATTTATTCCTCAAAATTACTAAACAAAAMCTTATTCTTTGAAGGTTTATTGCTTTCGTTCATAAAGGTCCATTTAGAAGGAAGCTYTGTTGTGTTTAAATTTTATTTCCGGAGCTATTTGAATAATGTTTTTTGAGCAAATGTTGAGGAAAGCGTCGGTTCAAAATGATTTTTTCAAGCAATTTGCAATATCATTCATAAATTGCTGYGGATAGTGACTTTGTAACTAACCAAACTTCCTTGAACTGTAAATTATTTTTTTTATCACGTTTATGCTGTTTTTGAAAAGTTTGTTTTGTTTAATTGTAAACTGAAAACCGATATACTTACGAAAGTCGTCCTCCATTCTTGATTCTCTATAGGGATAAAACCTTGCTTGGTTTTCGATTGCTTTCTTAACTAAACGTTCTTGTTCATACTTTACCACCATATAGTAAACATCTCTAGATGTCAGTGGATGTCTTGTTTTGCTTGCAGACTTGGTTCTGTTGCGGGAATGGTTTCTGCTGAGTTTCCTTTTGTCCTGTTTTTCTTGTTTGTTCATAACAATAGCGGTAGTTGACCTGCGTACAACAAAAGCTCTTTTAAAAGATATGTTGTTTAATTTACCGCCCTATGTGAACCTACAAATTTGTGTGTTATATTCGGAAGTTAGTTCTTCACTCGTTTTCTAACTTTGTTCTAAGTTTTCTCCCCTATGTTTTGCGGTTTAAGTATCTGAGTGCTGAATTCACATTGGCGGATCTATGTTTYGATATATCGTTGATTTTTTAATGTAGAAAGTGAGGGAAATCCAAAGAACATTCATTCCTTTTAATCTAATTAAGCTTTATTTGTCTTAATTTCAATTTCGATTAACTTGTTCATACCGGCAGACATTTGTGTTTACAATTAGTCTATTCATTGAGTTTACTGTTTAAAAATCGATATTGTTTCAGCTGCAGAGTTTCGCAACTTTATATTGACCGAGTGTAAAAAAAATTCTTTCATTCATTTATTCATTTTATTCATTCATTCATATTTCCATTTGCTAGTCAATCCAGTTAAGGCATATACGCCCTCTACATAAAATTAAATCTTGTTTTCAAATCCTGTATACGCCTGTCATATCCATTATCCAAACACTGTTGAATCGTTTCCCTATAAATCCTAAAACTTCCCATTTATCTTTCGCGTAGATAGCTACAATACAACAGTTTTACCATAAACAAACATTAAACATAAAAACATGCATGATAAACCGCCAAGGATTTCACAATCATATCACTTAAGATGTTAATCTTTGTGAAGAATATACGAAAAACCACAAATTGTGTTTTTATAAATAAAACTAGACGATCATGGATCGCTTACGTGGGCTTCCTGTGACAATGGTGTTTCATTTTCACAATATAGTCTTTGTTTGTAATAAGTCAAGACAGAATTAAGTTAATATGTTATCAATTTATTACATCATAATTTTTTACCGAACTGAACTCTAAGTAAATTGGATACCATGTCTTTCTCAGTTTTCCAATAACTAGCTCGACTTTACGCTCAAGAGCGTCTATATTATTCAAAATATCTGATAGGTCATATAGGTCACATAAACAATAGAAACGGTACAGTCTTGGCAGTATAACTTTGAATAATATTTTGATCATTTTAATCATGTATCTGTATCTTGTGTTTCTGTTCTTTTTTATTTTGTGTTTATCATTAATTTGTAAATCTGGCGTTCTATGCCATCATATATGATGCCATCATAAAGATGTACCTTAGCCTTCTAATGACAGTTCATATTTTTGGATTTGTCTAAGTTTTTCAAGTTAAACAATCATCAAAACAAACAATAGAGAATTAAAATGCTTCATACACAATATATATTTTGTATACAGAGTTCAGTAAAGCTCACACGTGCAGTTTTCCGAACTTCAAACACATCGTTAGTTTAGAAAATGGCATCAATATTTTTCAGATGAGATTTGATATGCTTTCTTCCATCGAATGATTGTTTTCTGTCAAAGTATGAACGTTAAATATCCATGTGATTTCTTATTTTTGAAGATTTTGTGTTTGACATCGAACACTTGTGTGTCGAAGAAGTAGTGCTCTTCGAGTCGGCGGTAGAAAATGCCCAGTCATTTCTGCACGAATCATCCGCTAATCTTGAATTATATACCTCAATCCATGTCGTTTGGATGGTAATCAGTTGATTTTTTAAGAGTTTCAGCTCTTTAGAGCATTTTAGCTACATTAGAACCATTTGAAATGAGACAACTTTTTACCGCCGTCTGTCAGCCATTTTGTTTTTATTCTGAGACTGCAGTCCATCTGCAACGCAGGCGCTACCAAAAATCGCTGATTGGTTTATTTTGACATCTCCATGGAAACTGAGACTGCAACGCATGCGCTATCGATGCGCTACCAATTTGAAGCGTAATATTCACGACGACGACCACGACGAAATCGCCAGTTGCATTTTAAGACGTGGACTTCCACAGGAAGCCCACGTAATTAATTATTGACAGAATTTATCACGAATTTAACGAGGAACTTTTGTCATTAAGAGTTTAGCACTTGACGCTTAAATAGCGTGGCAAGCCGGCCATGTGGTTTAATAAAGGAATATTTCTTTCAATTGTACAGCAAATTTAAAATAGGTTGTCATATGACATGTAGTATATACAAAAGGTGGAGACTAAGACCGAACACACAAATCCTTCATCGGTTTGCAATGTATCATGGGATACCAATCTTCCTGTCCTCGTCAAACCACTTTAGCTAAAATCGTAAGTAGTTTCGATGTTTTTAAGGTTGTAAATTTGATGTAAATATGATGTAAGTGTCCAAAATTCTGTAAATTTAATGGAAATGATTCGACCTATATATCGATGGATGGAAACGGATTACGAATGGATATTAGAAATCATCTCAAATCTAAAACACAACTTCATTAAATGCTGATAGACCATGTCCCTTTAAYTACAGTCTCCGCATTACCAAGAAATTCTCACTTGTTTACTCATTTATCAATCACAAAATGCATTTCGTTACAAAGTCGTAATACGGAGTATCGAACGGTAGTACAATCTACCTTTCTGCGAAAAATGACATGGCGTACATACCATCATCTAACGACAGATACATCAGTCTTATTAGTCATATTAAGCATGGAAACATTGTGCACAATTGTGATTTATCTTTCCAGAATAGATTAATTATAGGTATCCTCGCTTCTATTTTAAACATGGAGTAGGACAATTTCCTTATTCAATCCATTTTTCATTGTCATTATATGTTCACATACCATGTCGTAGGGTAGGCRATGTGCGTCATATGGTTCTTGCATTCACAGAAATATGCTCGTAGATTCCTTCCAGCTTTATATCTTTATGACGATTTTTTCTTTTCAAACCTGCCGAGCAGTATTGCATCTGTTTGTAGCCAACTGCTCKCATTTCTATCGTTATTTGCCTTTCTCTCCTATTAAAGTTAAAGAAATATCATTGCACAATCACTGTACGTCCGTCATCGCTGTATGAATGGTATCATGGTGTAACTTATAACTACGTACTTAAACGAACTGCCTACGTTCAGTTTGAAGCAATAGAAGTCACTAATCTGATTGGCCGCAAATCCTTCATAACCACTTAAATCCTTGATTTTCTCGACATATTTTAAACCATATTATGATACAAAAAGCTTAAGTTTTCAAACTCTTAGTTAATAATTTATCAACTTCTTTTGTTGCAGTTTTTACGTGGGATAGATATTTGTATTTTTTTCTGTTGTGGTCAAGAGATCACTGTGTGTGATGTATACTGCGTGGTTGATCATTGCTTAGATTGGAAAAGGACTGTATTCTACAAGAAAATCGTTCAATTKTTTCTCATCTTTTTAACCGGAGTTTTCTTTGCTAGTAGAAATATACTGGCAACGAGTTACGAGTTGAAAGTTCTGTGTAAATTCCTATATAAAAATTGCAAACTACATCGATTTCTTCCAAATATTCAAAGCGGGATGTTCTTTGTTTTGTTTTATTGAGGTGACAAACCCTTCAAATAGATAATGAACCAAATATACAGCCTTTTGCAAAAATTATGAGAATTGTTGAAATATCTAAATATCATAATATCAAGTGCATGATCCCGCGCGATGCCCTTAGTCCCTTGTCTTTGTTGTTTAGTTTTTTTTTGGCAACGGACTTATCCGTAGTTCTGAATATTTTCTCGATGTCAACAATGAATTATTCTAGCAAACCCGCGTGTTTCGGACAATATATGGATATGGATATTATGATATTTAGATATTTAGACAATTCTCATAATTTTTGCAAAAGGCTGTATATACTGATATATATATAGATTCTACTATTCTTTTATTYCCCAGTTTGCGTCACTGGATGTTGACTGACAACAAGCCGCGAAATGGGAAATCTTAAAGACTTTTTGTCCACTATTCAGAACTTTCAAACTTTAAYCCGCTCTTGAGCCATATCCGAAATAAATATTTAATAGTAGTTTTATCGAACACTCGAGTTCTTTTAAAAATCGTTGGTACCTTTTCGTACAACTTGATTTAATATCAACAGGATCGCGGTCTTTTACGTACAATATTAGACTTTGTTATGCAATGCTTTGAACAGCTGCAAGAATTCCAATGTAAACTTATTGTTTCAAGTCATAACCAACCTACTTCTCTCTTGATACTTTTGGAAGAACGCAGAAAGCAGGTATACTGAAGAAAAAGCTAAAGCATTTGACCAAAATCTTACCAGTTTGATTCGGCCGAAAAGTTAACTTAGTTTATACAAGGGAGTTCCTTTACATGGAAAGAATCAAAATATTTTGGGTTAAGCGCAAATTCCGAGAACATATACCCGTATGTGTCTTCCATATCTTGTTAAGATCAAATTAAGATTATTTTTAGTGATTTGTTCACCACCTATAGCAAATTTAATTTCAAAACACATAAATAGAGGATATTAAATGGGCATACGGAGGTACGGATTTTATCGATCATGTAATATTCTGTTTATCATATAATTACTATGAAAGCAAATTATGTCGTGAAATGTATTTTTTCTTACTTACACTATATAGAGAAACCTCGAATGTTATAGTGAAAATAACAACTTTACGTAATGGAGAAATATAGATTAAATAACTCTCTAAAATTTATTAACTTCACATTTCAACTAACTTCACTTTAGTCTTTACTCCTGTTTTGGTTACAGGAGTGAAGGTATATTAACTTAAAGTCATGAATCATTTCTAGAATAAAATATAAAACAGTAATTGTTCATTTAATTACAACTACATATATTCTGTAATTTTGATATACACAAGTCTTTTCAAGCGATTTTAACATGGCCGGCAGTAAAATTTCACAAGCTTTCGAGTGCGCCAAAAGTCTCTTTTCCAATAATGTTCTAGATTTGAGAGCCTATTCATCATTGCAAGTTCACCGAGTCTTAGAAAGCGGTTCTTTGGAGGAGACTATCAGCCTTCCAAAAAATTACTCGATGTTTTTTATTAAAAGTAGTAAATTACCWGAGTTCTCATTAAAAAATMTCCAACGGATCGACGTTATYAWTGTTTTTGTTGCAATTTCTTTGTTCCTCGGTACGTACAATTACTCATAGTCTACCAGTGTCTTTTATTTGTCTTTTGTTGGAGTAGTAGCAGAGTGCATTTTGATTAACTTAGTTATAGAGTAACACCGAATATTCTTCTTTAATTAATTCATCTCATTTTGAGCACATATCATGTGCCCTTTTGTTTCTGAATTCCYATTCTTTGAAACATACTTTTTTCCTTCAACRGCAATGRAGGAACATGGGTTTTTGGCTGTAACTYTTTTCWTAATTCAAACTTCATTGGYTCTTTGTTTGAGTTCACCAGTTTGCAAAACAATTTCTGAGCAAGGCTTTKCYTTGGAGCATCATTACCGCTCGGTTTATGCWGAGGCGTTGGGAACTTGTCTTTTGGCGTGCTTGCAAGATGATTCTAGCTCTTGTAAAAGTGTATCCTACGATATTGTGTTAAAATTGTGTAAACTCAGCAACGAAACTCGATACACCATGCCAGAGTACTTTAAAGAACAGGAAAACAACGTTTATGTCCCTATGGTTGAATCCCATGAAAAAAGTAATGTAGCATCTCCTACAGGCGTGAACACGAAGGGAAACACGACCACGGGTTCTCCCTCAGAGGCAAAAACCCAGTTGCAAGCAAATACGATATCTACGAATGAATCAACTACGGATTCTTCTCAAATTGAGACAACTTCTGGATCACAAGTAAGCGCTGATTATCCAACAGAGGTCACCACTACAGCTCAAACAGACAGAAAATCTTCAGAGCWGATGAGTACCACACCAGAAACAACAAATTCACAGACAACTTTGCCCTCCACAACCACAGAAATGGCAACACAGAGCTTTGACAAATACAAGTTCTGTTTTGATAAACTCGGTGATCATCGACATCCAGAAGACTGCACTAAGTACATTTCTTGTGTGTCTGTTTTTTTGATTTACGTGAGGTCTTGTGGAGACACCGTTAATGAATACTGCAACGCGCACTGTTAACAATGTTCATTTTCCTTACGAAACCGATTTATTTAAGGGTTTTGTAAACATTTTAATACACTACTGTGTCCATGTAAATATTGTAGCGTATGTCATGAGAAATGCATGATGTATCATTGTATATCATGAATGATGATCAGATCGATGTTGTGATCAGATGTTCTTTTAGATGTTCTAGACTGCATGGTAGCTACTGTATTTCGCAGGCTCAAAAAATTATGTACATACAACATCTCTTCGGCATGCATTCTTCTTTTGCAAAAGATGATCCCTAAACTAAAGGAAAGTGTAATACTGATATAATACKCAATATATCGTTCATTTYCAACAAATTGGGAATRTTGCGAAGAGACTGTTTGATGARCAACGTRGTCGATACAAGCCTCACAAGGAAACACAAAAAMCATTCGGTTATTTGCTCTTGGATAACRAACCAGATACACCTGTAGACAAAMAGGTTATTTTGGGACAATTTTTCGTCAATATCATGCTGTTGAGGTTAATTAAGAGAGGGAACGAATCAAGTCATCAACTGTTATTGGCCAGTAATTCAGTATTCTGGTCTATTATGTCAATACATAGATTCTCTACCTCAATGGTATATTATAGCAGAGATGTATAAAACTTCCCGCAACTCACATCAGCTAAATACACAGTGAAGAGGCCAGAAAAAATAAGAAAAACTTTCAATAGCACCTTTAAATGGATAAATCTCCATCAAGTTGATCCGATTGTTAAAACAATCTTCCAAGAGGCTCTTGCGAGCGAGGTGAACTCMTAAGTATATAAATAGAAAATCTTGGATGCAAGAATAAAAATATTCATTAAAAAATATGGCACTTTGTTAAATGGAACTCAGTCTGGTAGCTCAAATTCTAGCTATATATCGAAATATCAGCTTTATAAATTTTCTATAAGCCGCTAATTTAAGAAGCCATTGTTGAAARCATTCGCAGTATCTATAAGAAACTGTGTAAAATAATGAAGATGGTCAAATAAAACGGTAAATCAATTGCTGTTWTTGCTCTGGCTTTATTGAGACCTTAATGAAAGTAAATATGAGGGACTTCCTTTGGCTCAAAGAACAACATGTCTATTAGTTCTATTGTTCAAGGAAGAGCTTTCTGGAAAATTCAAAATGTCATCAAAACATCGCATATTCGTACAACCCAAAAATCARTAACATTTGACTCTGAACTTGATTCYTCCTGTTCTTTAGTGTGGCAATTTTACTGAAAGACTCTTGCATCTGCTCTATCAAGTTGTCCAGCTGTTTGGAGTTTGTTATTGAGCAGTTTCCATTCCTTTGCAGTCAGAGCGATACCAAACTCTTGGTTAGTGTTTTTTCTTTGCAGAACTTTCGCTCTTAGGCCATTAGGAAGCTATTGAACTCACTGACGGTAGTGCTTTATCCACGTTCACTAAATGAGAAATTTGTCCATTTTTGAATTACTGAGATTTAAGWTCAGAGTTCATAATACGCAGAAATAATAGCCTGTGTTACATCCGGAATATTCTTCGATATATATTTGTGAAATTTCCGGGATGTAACGCAGGCTAAGAAATAATAGCAGAGCTTGGTTCGCAAATACGTATCAGATACGCTCTTGTTTGTTATGTTCAACAATAGGCGACGACGTCAGGAATAAATGAATTAATCATTCGACTTGATTCTAGATTCACTAGAAGGAATTCCTCGCCTCTCAGTTGAGTACTCGATATTAACCCGGACTAAGTCGACGCAGCCTGTTCTTAGTACTTTTAGATATAAAGGTCAAAACGAAAACACGCCAGGATTTCATTGGCTACAGATATATTTGTTTCCGAGATATCAGCCATAAAAACTAGTCGTTCCAGTTTCTACTTTGCTCTGGAGAGGGAAGAAAAAAACAGGTATGAAAATAGCATCTGTCAAAATTTGATAGGAAATTCTTACCGATTTGCTTCGATCAAACCAAGGTGGTAATGTATAAGTGGCGCTCGTATAACAATACATCAGATTTGTTTTTCAATTCATCTATATTTTTCCGATTTATATTGTAAATTACTTTTTTATGTACTTCAAGTGAATTTTTTTAATTTTCGTAGGTATTAATCTGTAAGCAGTCCTGAACGTCAAATTCGTTCTTGCATGTCAAAACCGTTCCTTAATTACAAGTATATCAAGCACGTTTCTGTTATATTATTAACACAACGTTTCCCACCTTTTGTTTACAAAAGTGAAGTTATATTAAGAACAGCGACCATTACCTCTTTGATAAATTTCACTTATGTTTACTCTCAAATACTCATATGATTTGTCGAGGCAACTTTRGCACTAGAATCTTTATTTTCATAACCTCAGAAAAGTGAATTAAATTTTAACGGAGTAAGTTTTAGAATGAGATATGAAATTAATTTACGTCGTGCTTATTAAAAGARYGTTGGCATTGGAGGCACAATTTCATTGGCTGTGACACTGACACAAAACCTTAGCGGCCAACCAATTCATCGACTG